ATCTGGATCTATAATACCCAATAACAGGAAAACCTTAAAGTAAAACAATTCTGAATCTACCTACATAATTAGATCCCTATAAGGTAATTTTTCACAAGGTTCAAGATTTTTGTCGTACTGAATATACAATTTTAGTTGTATGGGTAAATCGTGAGATTCGCAATGTAACTGATCAGTTTCATCTACGCGCCCTGTACCTATATAGTTGTAGGTTAAATCGGGTATTTAGGATGTTGAATCCTATTTGGGGTTGGTTTTTTTCTTCATTTTCGTTTTCTCTCATTCTAATTGAATTGCACGTGCTTTATGCCTAAGAATGTGATACGGCTTTGCTAAATTTGGCTTTTAAAAATGCGCGCGTTAAACACTGAAAAAGGATACCGGCAAAGTCCTTACACTGCCGACAAGTAAATGAGTTTTCAAAAACACTCCGCCCGTTTCGTGTGGTTCGAAAAAATAGACCCGCGGTTTTTCGTTTGCCGTGACCGGTTAAATCAAGACGTTTTTGTTGCACCGATAAATTTATTATTTACGTAACATGTTCCATCTCTTCTTATTTTCATTATAAAGTTGTATTTTTGCCATTTCAGAATCAGCAAAATAATAATTCATAATCTAAGTAATCTAAAAATATCCACAAAGTTCGGTATAATACCAATACTGCCATCTATCCATCATGTGCATAAAATGCAAATATCTATTATTTAATGAAGGTACTGCCATCTAGTACTTGATGAATGTATTTTTCAAAGTATGATTTCAATTATTTCGCATTTGACAGTCATTTGTATTTTCATTGAAAGAAATTATATTTATTTCACTTTTAGCAAATGGATATATTTCTGTGTTTCTCTAACTTCTGATTCTGAAATAAGCATTTTTGGCCTAATGACCTAATTATTTAGCAATTTTTAGTTTTTAACATAACCTTGATTTAAATTATTATAATTTGTAAACAATTAAAATAATTCTAGTGGATTTTTATCTATTCTCTAAATGAATATGGTCTTTTGGGTGTAGTTTTCTAAACGCAGTTAAGTATAAAAAACAAAGGATTGCTTTTCTATAGGGGTTTGATTTCTAAAACATTCTCTTTTCTCTGACAGTGCTCTAGCAGGCCAGTCATTTTTATTTTTATAATTTTTTCTTCACATTTTTAGATTCTCCCTTATACATTTTTCCATCGGTGCATATTATCATATCATTGTTAAGTTTTTACCTGATAAATCTCATCTTATCTATTTTTGAAATATAAATATTATATATATATTTTTTTAAATCTAATTGTGAGTGCCGATTGGTGGTGCCACGTTTTTCTGAGGTAAGTCAATTCAGATTTTTGGTCTAATAAATAGGTACCTACTGCTGCTCTGGTTTTCAGAATCAATTGTTAGTGTGGGATTATTGGACCATTATTGCTCTAAATAGAATCGGTGAAAACCAAATTTGTGTGTCCATCCCTATCAACTCTTTATTGAATCCCGGCAGAGGCCTATATATAGCCATTTTCTGTTTGACTCCGTCAATAATTACCTGAGATTTTTTTGAAATTTCACTTTATTAGTCGAAATTCCAATGAAACTTCAAAATTGTTTTCAAAATTTCATTTATTTCCATAAGAATTTTTCGGAATTTCACTGAAATTCTCTTTCAATAGTCAGGAATTTCTGGGAATATTGATAAAATTTCAAGTAATTTCTTGAAAATTCACCGAAATTCCGAAATATATTGAAATTTCATATCATTACCTGGGAATTTTTCCAAATTTCACCGAAATTCCAAGTTTTTAGCCAGAAATTCCTCGGAATTCCACTTGTGAAAAGTTCTTTAATTTTACTAAAATTCAGTAATTTGATGGGAATTTTTCGCAATTTCAATTTAACTAAAATGCCATGTTTTTAACTAGGAATTCCTTGGAATAAAAATAAAACTTCTTTTTATTACATTAGGATTTTTCGGAATTTCACTGGAATTCCTTACGAAACGATGTGAATTTTTTAAAATTCCACTCAAATTTCATGTAATTCTCTGACATAATGCAATTTTTTGAAACTTTTTTAAAATTCTTTATATAATTTAACGAGCACTGAAATTTCATGTTGGGAATTTCGGTGTTATTTAATGTAATTTTTGAGAATTCCTGCATGCAACTCATTCAGGATTTCATGTAATTCGATCGAAATTCCACTGAAATTTCATGTAATTCGAGAGGAACTAAAATTTAATGTGAATTTTATGGACACTACGCAAAAATTTCACATGTCACATTTCACACTATAAAATTCAATAGAGTTCTTGGATTTTTTTTTCTTCGGAATTACAATATAAGATTTCATGAAATTCTTCGGAATTCCACTAAACTTTCAAGTTATTCCATAGGAATTTCGCGAAAATTTTAGTCAATTCCATAGAAATTCCTTGGAAGTTCACCAGAAGATTTTATGCAATTCCTCGAAATTCCATTCAAGTGATAAATTTCAATGGAAAAACGTAAATTTCTATAAATTTTACTATAAGATTTCATAATACTTTTCCGAATTTTATCATAAGATTCTATGGAATTCCACCATAAAATTTAATGGAATTCTTGCACAAAAATTCCTCGGAATTCCACTAAAATTTCAAGGAATTCCATAGGAGCTCCGCGAAAATTTCAAGTAATTCCATAGAAATTCCTTAACATTTCACCAAAAGATTTTATGGCATTCTTAGACAAGATTATTTCGGAATTACAGTATAGGATTTCATGTAATACCTCGGAATTCCACTAAAATCTCAATTTCAAAATTCTATAAAAATTCCATAATTTTTTTTTAACTTCACCGAAATTTCCCTAAAATTTCACTACTAAAATATCCTTGAATTCCACAAAATTTTTATAAAATTCTTGGGAATTTCATTGACATTTCATGTAATTTCTTAAACATTCCTCGGAATTCACTAAAATTTAATGAGAATATTTTGAAAGTCCACGTTCATAGCCGAAAATTTCCCGAAAGTCCAATGAAACTTTAAGGAACTTTTGATTTGATTTATTTTCATAAGAATTTTTCGGAATTTCACTGAAATTCTCTTTTAATAGCTAGGAATTTCTCGGAAAATTAATGGAACCTCAAGTAATTCTTGAAAATTCACCGAAATATATTGAAATTTCATGTCATACATGGGAATTTTTCGGAATATCACCGAATTTTCTTGTTTTTAGCTGGAAATTCCCCGCCATTCCACTTGTGGAATTTTACTAAAATTCAGTAAGAACTGAAATTTCATGTTGGGAATTACGGTGTAATTTTATATAATTATTTAGAATTCCTCCGTGCAATTCATTTAGGATTTCGTGTAATTCGATCATATAATTCGAGAGGAACCAATATTTAATGTAAATCTATGGAAACTCCGCAAACATTCACATGTAATTCCTTTTTCAGAATAACATAATTCTACCGAAATTCCTCGAAATTTCACTAAATTATGAAATTCTGAGAGACTTTAACTTATTTTTAGGGATTCCAAAGGATTTTTGGGAGTTTCAAGGGAAATATTTTTTAGGAATGATTTTATGAGATTTTGCAGGATTTTTTTGGTTTTAATGAAATTTTGTTAGATTTAGAAGGATTTTATGCAATTTCAAGAGATTTTGTAGGATTATGTTAAATTTTTAAGGATTTCAAAGATTTTTAAGGATTTTGAGTAGATCTTTTGAGATTTTCTGGGATTTTGACCAACTTGTACACGAATTTTGACCAGTTAACCACCCCTCGCGATTTTGGGCGTGGCACCTGAAAAAAATTACCTCCGGCGGCGCCTGCGGCGAGCTTTTCGTCTTAAATATTTCTCGTTTTTGAGGCATTCCATTAAAAATAACGATAAATCGATGTATCGAAAATTAGAGCCGATTTCACAATAGACACCCCTAATTTAAATAAGATAATATTCACTAAAAAAAGTAGTTGTTTTGAATAGGGGCGGCTTTTTCATGATGCCTGCACAAAGGCGGCAGAGGGGCTAGGACCGGCCCTGAATCTGGTATAAAAGAGGCAAACCCTGTTGATATACCTGCTGACCCTAATTAGGATTTAACTAGAAATCCGACAGATCATTCATTTGTGAATTCATATAGAGAAGTAGTTGGATCTCTAATATTTACTACTATTGTTTTAAGACCAGATATTACTTTTGCAGTGGAAGTTGTGAGTAGATTTTTGAACAATTCAACAAATGCACAATGCAATGCTATTGAAATATTTGAAACGAACACCAAGCTACGCTACAGTATTCAATGTAAAAAGCAAGACAATTGTGAACTAGAAGGTTTTTGTGACTCCAATCATGCCAAAGACAAAGAAACAAGAAGATCTGTAACAGGTTATGCCTTCAAAGCAAATAATGATCCTATAACATGGTGTAGCAAAATACAACAAAGAGTATCATTGTCAACAACCGAAGCTGAATATGTGCCAACTTGTCATGCAACAAAAAAAACTATATAGCTACACAGATTGATGCAAGAAATTGGAATTAACTTTGACAGTCCAACGAAGTTATACATTGATAATCAAAGTGCTATCAGGCTAATACATAACCCAGAATTTTATATTCGAAGCAAACACATCGACATTAAGTACCATTTTATACGAGAGAAGTACCAAATTTGTGAAATTGTGTTGAAGTATGTTAATAGGTACTAAGAATCAAGAAGCTGACAGGTATCTCACTAAAGCCCTACTACCTTGTGAAACCCAAATTAAAAAATGTACCTAATTGTTTCATTGATCAAAACTTCATTTTAAGGGCCTTTCTTTCATTCTGCTCTATTAGCAAAGCTACCATGAATAAAACTAATCCCAATTTAAACCCTTCCCGACTATAAATTAACTGACTCAATTAATTTCAGTTTCAGTTGTAGAAAAGGCAATTTCGGTGCCTAATTGCCGCAACTTAATTTAGATCTCTCGTTTTAAATGAACGTGACTTGTTTAATAAAAAAGACAAATTTTTACCTGATTGAAATAAGCTGGCAACATACACCTTTGATCGTCGATTCTGGACCGTTGGGCCTTCTCCAACAGCTCGAACAAATCGCAAGTAGTACCTTTAAGCCGCTCGGGAGTTTTGGGGTCTTCGGACTTGGCCGGAGTACCCAAACTGGAACCGTGCCAAGTCGTTGTACCATTTTGATGTTGACGCCTGCAAAAAAAAAAACAATAAATCAATATAGCCTCCCGTAGAGGCTACAGTTATAGGATCCCATTACTTGGCACTTTTGCTTTATTGTAATAATCCGATGATCAGTTTAAGTGACTGTTAATTTATATTGTACAGTTAGAGATATTTTCGGTTTGGTAAAAATTTAAGTGGTCAGTGGCGGTACCTGTGCGTTATATAGGAATTCAATTAAAATAAACCAGTCGCGGCCTATCGGTTTAATTAATCGGGTTATCATTATCGGGCGCAGTCACTGAAAATGCGCTTCGTTTTATTTAGAAGGAAAAAAAAAAAAAAGTGAAATCGCCTGGTGTTTATGCGTGTGCAATTGTCGATTATTACCCTACCAAGGAGAAATACTTTATTATATATGGGCTGATTTCGTTGGATTAGATTTATTAAACTGATAACGAAGGCTATATGGGGTTTCTTATATGAGTTGTAAAATTGGTTGTATCTATTTCAGTATAGATGTGGCAAAAGATAAACTGAAACTGGAAGTGCACTTTAATCAGTGGCGGATTTACGACTTTTGAGACCTTAATGATCATTTCTGAGTCCTTTGGGTACGCCAAAAAACTAAAAAGGTTCACAAAGAAATTGCAAAATGTTCAAATGACTTAATTATAGGTATATTTGTTGCAATAATAACCGAGTAATGAGCGATTTTGTGAGACAATGTCACATTATTGAAATTTTCTAGGCCCAAAATATGGAAAAACGGTTTTTATTTTTTACAAACCCTAAAACCCAAAAAACAAAGTTGCGTAAATGCTTTTCCACTAATTTTCACCTCCTCTTTTGATTGGTGATGTCAAAAATTGCAAAATCCAAGAATTTAAAAATTCAAATTTTTCCAAAGGGGTATGCATGGAAATTTGATTTTCAAATATTTCAAAGGGCCATATTTTGGAAACCAGTGAAGTTATCGGCATAAATCTTTTGCCCAAATGTAGCTCTTGAGAACGGCTATAAAAAGGGTTATTTGAGACTCTGAGCCCAAGGGCTTCGTTTTCAAGAAAATCAGCTTGGAATCTTTTGTGAAATTTGAGACAATGTTTTGAATTTGAGCCTCAATATCTTCAAAAGTATTTGAGATAAAGAATTGAATCTTATTTTATCTTAAAGATAATTTAATTCTGATTCAGAATATATAATTTTACATCATATTTGTTGCAATAATAACCGATTAAGCGATTTTCTGAGACAATGTCAGATTATTGGAATTTTCTGGGCCCAAAATGTGGAAAAAACGGTTTTTATTTTTTTACAAGCCCTAAAACCCAAAAAACAAAGTTGCGTGAATGCTTTTCCACTAATTTTCACCTTCTTTGTCGATTGGTAAAGTCAAAAATTGCAAAATCCAAAAATTTAAAAATTCAAATTTTTCCAAAGGGTAGTATGCATGGAAATTTGATTTTCGAATATTGCAAAAGGCCATATTTTGGAAACTAGTGAAGCTATCGGCATGAATCTTTTGCCCAATTGTAGCTCTTGAGAAGGGCTATAAAAAAGGTTATTTCAGACTCTGAGCCCAAGGGCTTCGTTTTCAAGAAAATCAGCTTAAAATCTTTTGTGAAATTTGAGACAATGTTTTAACTTTGAGCCTTAATATCTTTAAAAATATTTGCGATAAAGAATTGAATCTTATTTTATCTTAAAGATAATTCAATTCTGATTTAGAATATATAATTTTACATCATATTTGTTGCAATAATAACCGAGTAATAAGCGATTTTGTGAGACAATGTCAGATTATTCAATTTTTCTGGGCCCAAAATATGGAAAAAACGGTTTTTATTTTTTTACAAGCCCTAAAACCCAAAAAACAAAGTTGCGTGAATGCTTTTCCATTAATTTTCACCTCCTTTTTCGATTGGTAAAGTCAAAAATTGCAAAATCCAAAAATTTTAAAAATTCAAATTTTTCCAAAGGGGTATGTATATGCATGGAAATTTGACTTTCAAATATTTCAAAGGGCCATATTTTGGAAACCACTGAAGCTATCGGCATGAATCTTTTGCCCAATTGTAGCTCTTGAGAAGGGCTATAAAAAAGGTTATTTCAGACTCTGAGCCCAAGGGCTTAATTTTCAAGAAAATCAGCTTAGAATCTTTTGTGAAATTTGAGACAATGTTTTGACTTTGAACCTCAATATCTTCAAAAGTATTTGAGATAAAGAATTGAATCTTATTTTATCTTAAAGATAATTTAATTTTGATTTAGAATATATAATTTTACATCATATTTGTTTCAATAATAACCGAGTAATGAGCGATTTTGTGAGACAATGTCAGATTATTGAAATTTTCTGGGCCCAAAATGTGGAAAAACAGTTTTTATTTTTTTACAAGGCCTAAAACCCAAAAAATAAAGTTGCGTAAATGCTTTTTAACTAATTTTCACCTCCTCTTTCGATTGGTAAAGTCAAAAATTGCAAAATCCAAAAAATTTAAAAATTCGAATTTTTCCAAAGGGGTATTATGCATAATGGAAATTTGACTTTCAAATATTTCAAAGGGCCATATTTGGGAAACCACTGAAGCTATCGGCATGAATCTTTTGCCCAATTGTAGCTCTTGAGAAGGGCTATAAAAAAGGTTATTTCAGACTCTGAGCCCAAGGGCTTCATTTTCAAGAAAATCAGCTTAGAATCTTTTGTGAAATTTGAGACAATGTTTTGACTTTGAGCCTCAATATCTTCAAAAGTATTTGAGATAAAGAATTGAATCTTATTTTATCTTAAAGATAATTTAATTCTGATTCAGAATATATAATTTTACATCATATTTGTTGCAATAATAACCGAATATTAAGCGATTTTGTGAGACAATGTCAGATTATTGAATTTTTCTGGGCCCAAAATATGGAAAAACGGTTTTTATTTTTTTTACAAGCCCTATAACCCAAAAAACAAAGTTGCGTGAATGCTTTTCCATTAATTTTCACCTCCTTTTTCGATTGGTAAAGTCAAAAATTGCAAAATCCAAAAATTTTAAAAATTCAAATTTTTCCAAAGGGGTATGCATGGAAATTTGACTTTCAAATATTTCAAAGGGCCATATTTTGGAAACCACTGAAGCTATCGGCATGAATCTTTTGCCCAATTGTAGCTCTTGAGAAGGGCTATAAAAAAGGTTATTTCAGACTCTGAGCCCAAGGGCTTCATTTTGAAGAAAATCAGCTTAGAATCTTTTGTGAAATTTGAGACAATGTTTTGACTTTGAACCTCAATATCTTCAAAAGTATTTGAGATAAAGAATTGAATCTTATTTTATCTTAAAGATAATTTAATTTTGATTTAGAATATATAATTTTACATCATATTTGTTTCAATAATAACCGAGTAATGAGCGATTTTGTGAGACAATGTCAGATTATTGAAATTTTCTGGGCCCAAAATGTGGAAAAACAGTTTTTATTTTTTTACAAGGCCTAAAACCCAAAAAATAAAGTTGCGTAAATGCTTTTTAACTAATTTTCACCTCCTCTTTCGATTGGTAAAGTCAAAAATTGCAAAATCCAAAAAATTTAAAAATTCGAATTTTTCCAAAGGGGTATTATGCATAATGGAAATTTGACTTTCAAATATTTCAAAGGGCCATATTTTGGAAACCACTGAAGCTATCGGCATGAATCTTTTGCCCAATTGTAGCTCTTGAGAAGGGCTATAAAAAAGGTTATTTCAGACTCTGAGCCCAAGGGCTTCATTTTCAAGAAAATCAGCTTAGAATCTTTTGTGAAATTTGAGACAATGTTTTGACTTTGAACCTCAATATCTTCAAAAGTATTTGAGATAAAGAATTGAATCTTATTTTATCTTAAAGATTATTTAATTTTGATTTAGAATATTTAATTTTACATCATATTTGTTTCAATAATAACCGAGTAATGAGCGATTTTGTGAGACAATGTCAGATTATTGAAATTTTCTGGGCCCAAAATGTGGAAAAACAGTTTTTATTTTTTTACAAGGCCTAAAACCCAAAAAATAAAGTTGCGTAAATGCTTTTTAACTAATTTTCACCTCCTCTTTCGATTGGTAAAATCAAAAATTGCAAAATCCAAAAAATTTAAAAATTCGAATTTTCCCAAAGGGGTATTGATAATGGAAATTTGACTTTCAAATATTTCAAAGGGCCATATTTTGGAAACCAGTCAATTTATCGGCATGAATATTTTGCCCAATTGTAGTTCTTGGGAAGGGCTATAAAAAAGGTTATTTCAGACTCTGAGCCCAAGGGCTTCGTTTTCAAGAAAATCAGCTTAGAATCTTTTGTGAAATTTGAGACAATGTTTTGACTTTGAGCCTCAATATCTTCAAAAGTGTTTGAGATAAAGAATTGAATCTTATTTTATCTTAAAGATAATTTAATGTTGATTTAGAATATATAATTTTACATCATATTTGTTTCAATAATAACCGAGTAATGAGCGATTTTGTGAGACAATGTCAGATTATTGAAATTTTCTGGGCCCAAAATGTGGAAAAACAGTTTTTATTTTTTTACAAGGCCTAAAACCCAAAAAATAAAGTTGCGTAAATGCTTTTTAACTAATTTTCACCTCCTCTTTCGATTGGTAAAGTCAAAAATTGCAAAATCCAAAAATTTTAAAATTCAAATTTTTCCAAAGGGGTGTATGCATGGAAATTTGACTTTCAAATATTTCAAAGGGCCATATTTTGGAAACCACTGAAGCTATCGGCATGAATCTTTTGCCCAATTGTAGCTCTTGAGAAGGGCTATAAAAAAGGTTATTTCAGACTCTGAGCCGAAGGGCTTAATTTTCAAGAAAATCAGCTTAGAATCTTTTGTGAAATTTGAGACAATGTTTTGACTTTGAGCCTTAATATCTTTAAAAGTATTTGCGATAGAGAATTGAATATTATTTTATCTTAAAGATAATTTAATTCTGATTCAGAATATATAATTTTACATCATATTTGTTGCAATAATAACCGAATATTAAGCGATTTTGTG